ATTACGCCAAACTCCACGTGTTCGTATGTGAGCAGCAACGTGAATGTTTTCCCCGCTTGGAGTTACTTAAAGACGCCCCTAGGTAGTGCTCAAAAAGTTTCAGTACTCAAGCTGCTCTAGTTGCAGAGTTACGTCAAGTTTCATGTGTTCGTTCGTGAATGCATGGGAGCTGACTGCAAAACTGGAAAAGATAGTCCATTTCGCGTCACTACAGGATAAGCTGATGGAAGCTAGGAGCAGATTGCTGAAATCCCGCGCGCAGAGATGGAGAGAATACTATTTCACCCATGCTGGACCACTGAAAACATCTGATGAGTGACGCAACATTATTGAGGTCACTAAGGTCACACTGGCTCATCGTCACTGAGAACACTATCAGTTGACCGACAAATGTAAATGCGAAGGAATTACGTATAAAACCAGAAGCTGTGCGGAGGATGGACAGCCCTCCATAACGAAACGTAGGCTGATCAATTAGACTTAGTCGAAGGCGTGCCGGCTGCCGGTACGAGGATGCGTTTTTTGCACAGTTCCCCGCAGGTTTTTTTCGCCAGTGGCACGTTCTTCTCGGCAGATGCTTCTAGCTAAAAGAATTAGGACTGACCACCACGACTATTAGAAATTATTACAATGACTCCCAATCCATGCCCGAAAAATTCAGCGCTGTGGATGCTTCGGTTGCGGAGTTACGTCAAATTTCACGTGTTCATAAGTGGATGGAACGTGGACGATTTCTTTGCCTGCGGTTACTCAAATACGGTCCTGGGTAACGCTCAGAAAGTTTCAGCCCTCCAGCTGCTCCGGTTGTAGAGTTACGTCTAGTTTCACGTGTGTACACGTGAAAGGTGAAAGTGATGTGTAAGTCGTTTTTGCGTGCATCTGCTCAAAGGCCACTGTCGGTAATGCTCAGAAAGTTCGGGATCTTTGGCTGGTTCGATTCTAAAATTGGAAAAGCGCACGCGTGAAATTATCACGTGTTCGTACGTAAGATACAGAAGAGCTGACAAGTAATTTACTTTCACGGAACAACAATAGGCGACAAGTAACGCTGCAAAATTACAGCTCTCTGCAACTTACTGGTCAGTTTAAATCTGGAATTAGCATGATGCCAGTTTAAACTTTAACGTGTGCGTACGTAAGACCTGGGGGTGCGTGAAGGTTGAATTTGAAATCTTTGGATTGGACGCGGCCAAGGAACAAGTCCGTGAAATTCCAGCCTCCTAGCATGGGGCGTTCCCAAAAACGCTTTTCCGCCGAAAAAACTTTCACGTGCCCGTACCTGAGAACTACGCGGTACCAAGTGTCCATTTTGAGGAAGGGGGCCCGCACGTATGTGTAGATTAATTTACCAAAGTTTCGACCTTGTGGCTTTTATGGATCTTGAGATGGAAGCTCGTTACAGACGTACACACAGACACATACACATACATACACACACACACACAGACACCCCCTGATAATATGCGTTTTTGCATTGCACAGCTGCAAAAAAAACGCATAAAAGTAGATTTTATGTGGGAAACTTTGAAACGAATAATGCCAGAAAACTGGAAAGTTTTTGTATATATGTAAACGTAGAAACGCGCGTTGTGACGTGTGTGTATGTGTATGTATGTATGTGTGTGTGTGTGTGTGCATGCGTGTGTTCCGAATATTTCAACTCGACAAACAAGCAGGCTTTGATGCTGAAGTTTTGCTACCGGGTTCCCTGGCTCTGTGTTACTCGAGGAATGCGGTACCAATTTTTACACCCGTCCGAGCCCCACGCACGGACACGTGGAAGTCTTGGCGAAAAATAAGTTGGGAACAGGAAAAGATGGAAAGTTCTAAAAAGTTGTTCCCGGTCCAAGTACAACTTAAAAATTTCAAATTCATCATCTAGATACTCGCGATTCTCATGTAAGAAGCACGTAAATTGGCGGGATACTATTAGCACGGAAACTGAAATTAAAAAAATTACTTCCTTAATTTCATGCTGATTTTTTTCGTATCTTCGTCAGTGACATTTTGTTATGTGCAGATGATTATTCATGTAATCCAAATAATGGTTCAGATCATGGACGCTCAAGAAAGCTATGCTGTGAAAGAATCAATGGAAGGGGCGTTCGACAGTTCGGTGAGTAGTGTTTGGTACTGCAGTTCATTCTTATTACTTTTGGCTACGGCGTACGCCGTTACTCTTACGTCACTGTTATCTGTAGGAATAATCATCGGGTGCGGGGAGTGCAACGAGCTGCGGGAGAAATACTCCGCAGATGCGCTGTACTAGCGTTTTGCAGCTGAGCGAAAAAGTGATGGAGGCTCAGAACGACATCCATTTCGAAGTAGGTTTGCTGTCGGCTTCGCATGCGTCGATATTTAGCAGTTAATCGCAAAGATTCTAGTTAGTTACAGAGCTTTCTAGGACATGCAGCGAACGCTATGTCCTACGGCGGAATTCACACAAGTGTCGTTAGCGCCGCTCTGCCGGCAGGTGAAGAATGTAATGAAGTGTGTTGCGATCGTATCTGCAGATTCGACGATCTTACCGGTGATCAAAGCAGCTTTACTAGGTCTACCAGAAGTACTGAAATCGATGCTCGGTGTTTTGACGATGTTCGACTACAACAGCAAAAGCACTGATTACTACATTGGCAGTGTGTCCGAATAAAGAGCTTTTTGAGCATATAAATGTTCTTGCATTACTAATCCAGGACTATTTTTCTATTCTCTTCGGGGAACCAAATGGCAGCAACAGAAAATGCGTTCCCGTTGAAAAATGAAAACGATTTTCTTTTTTTATTGGAGTAATTTGTTTTATCGTGATTTTTTAATCATGTAAAACATTCTACATTTCACCATGTTATAAACAACATAGAAAAGCAGTGAAGGGGGAATAAGGGTGCAGGCGGGGTGAGGAGAGTAGGGATACAACTGGGGAGGGGGAGAGGTGGTAAGCATACAGCCGGGAGGTACGGGTGCAGTCGGCGGGGGAGGAAGGAAAGGGGGATACAGCTGAGGTGAGGTAGAAGTGGTCAGCGCGGGCTGAAAGAGAGCGGAAGCGCTCTAGCGCGGAGGGACGGATCGACCTCTACAGGTAACGGGCCTCTCTCTCATGTGTAAATGGGGCGCCTTACCATGTACAGTTGAGGGCATGTTATTTGTAATTTGATATTTTGGTGTGATCGTAATATACTTAGTATTTTAGCCTTCTTTTTTGTCTATGATCATCACACGGCAAATAAAAAAGGAATTTACATGATAATTGGCCAACGCATGGGCTGACCGTGCGAAGACGTGTTTTTTGCTTAGTTCCCCGCAGTTTTTGTCGCTACCGGCACCGGTTTTTTCGGC